TTTTGCGTCATTTATATCTTCTTTCTGTGCCCTTCTTTTTTGTTTTTTTGTGAACTATACGCACAAGGTCCACACTAAGGTTACACCCCTACCCGTGTATCTCACCCTTTACCAGTTTTAACAAAGACACACACACAAAACCTCACGGTCCACCTTAGTGTATCCCCCCCCCCGGTATCCCCCACCTTGTGTATCTATCATCCCACACAACCCACACACACCACACCCACACACACACAACACACACACACACACACCATCACACACACAACACACACACACACACACACACACACGACACACACCACACACACCACACACACACCCACAACACAAACCAAAATAGACTAGCACCAAATGATAAGGGGAAAAGAATATACCGCCAGTAAAAACTGTTCCTTGTGGTAACCACAGGTTTCAGCTGATTTAAGTAGGTTTTTCGTTCCTTTCACCTAGTCGTTAAATATACAAAGTTTCAGATGACACTTCTATAGTATTCGCGCATTACGTTAGTTACATTTTGGTTTTCAATACTGCGTACTTTCACTTCATTAGCCAGTCTAACTGGCTTTCTGTTGTCCCCAGTAGTCTGATACAATATTTACAGTTTGAAATGGTGTTAAATGAAATGTGGTGAAGATTAATGGGTTTTTTCTGTTAATGTAATAGCAGTTAAAACAGGACCGGTCAAATTTGACCGGTCAAAATGTGGAACTAAGACAATAGGAGGGTTAAAGGTCACCTATCATGCTATGTTTAGGCAATAGCATAAGTCTCAGATATATACAAATATATAACAAACATGTCTATGAAGTGTTTTGCTCAAAATACCAAACAGATCACCCATTCTAGCCATGCCTCATATCCCTCTATATCACTTCCTGTTTCAAAAGTGCTGATTTTGGGTATTGTAGAAAAGGCCCCAAAGTTATAGTTACTGATATATATATTAGGGCTGTCAAACGATTACAATTTTTAATCAGATTAATCACAGCTTAAAAATGAATTAATCATGATTAATCACCATTCGAACTATGTCCAAAATATGCCATTTCTTTATTTGTATTGTTGTGGGAATGGAAAGATAAATGAAAGAAGGCGGATATATCCATTTAACATACAGTTTGTATGTTTAATATAACATTGTTCTGTGTGTCAAAACGAAAGACAGCCCACACACCTATCATCAATCATCAAACCTTGGGTTATTTTCTATCAACACGTAATGTTGTATCGATGTATATAGAGATGTACTACAGCAAAAGTATTCTCCGTCAGGATTTCCTTCAACAACACCACGCCGTTATCGTGATTCTGGTTGGCCAGAAGACATTATCAAAGATGTTCTACTGAGAAGACGATCACTACGTGACAAAAGTTTTCAAAACTGTTTCTAGTCTTCGGTATTTCCAGACAAGTGACTANTCTAAGTACTTCTAAAAAAAGTCGAGTGTGAAAAGCTGGACACTCAGCGACCGCCCTCTCAGCTACAGAGCGTTAGCGATAGCGGTTGCTTCCGTGAACATAGCCCCAAATAAAAATAATAATAATACATTTATTTTGGGGGGCGCCTTTCATAACACCAAGGACACCTTACAGGGCATAGGGGCAATATAGGGAACAATTAAAACAGTGGATTTAGTGAAGTATCAGCCGGGGTAAGACAAGACAAACAACAGGAAATNGTGTGCCTTGGCAGTCTCAGAAGTAACAGACAGAGAATCAGCACTTTTGAAACAGGGCTGAAACAGAGGGGATTATGGGATGCTGCAATGATCTGTTTGGTGTTTCGAGCCAAACACTTCAGAGACATGTTTGGTTTTTATCTGAGACCTATAATATATTGATGAAAGACAGTATGATAGGGGACCTTTAAAGTCTTCTTTAAATTATTATGTTACATTTTATTTTCAATCCATGCAGATAAGCATCAACAACTGTCCAAATACACCTGTGTCCATTTTTCACAAGATAATGTTCTGTGTTTGTTCATCCTGGAGAGTGACATTTAATTAGCTTAATCTCTATCCGTGGAAGTTGGGTTGATTTATTCTTTTTCATATGAGAAGTTGACAGGAAGTTGTGTGTTAAATGTTTTGTGACGATCTGTTGCTTTTAGTTTTGGATGGCTATAGTAGCAGCTTTTAATGTATGTGTGATTGATGCCGTGTCCTTGTGATGAATGTGGTTTTATTGCTTGACTTTAATTAGACTTTTTATCTTATCTTTTTTACCTCTGTAAAGCGTCTTTGAGCACCTGATAAAGCACCTGATAAATCAAATGTATTATTATTATTATTATATATACATTTAGATTATTATTTTTATTTAGAATAAGTATAAAAAGCTCAGGTTTCAGTTACAGCATTTTGTTGAGATTTGGTTTTTATGCACGACTGGAATTTGCAAAAATATTGATCTGTAGAACTTTATCATGACCTTGGGCCGGTTTATCTAAATGTATACAGGTGTGTGTGATCGTGTGTGTGATCGTGTGTGTGATCGTTTGTGTGTGTCCACCCTGCTGTACCATACAGGAATGCATCCTAATGTGTTACCACGGTAACACATCTCAGGCTGACAAAAGTCATCTGTCACTGTTGCCTATGGTTGATGAAACGTGTGTGTGTGTGTGTGTGTGTGTGTGTGTGTGTGTGTGTGTGTGTGTGTGTGTGTGTGTGTGTGTGTGTGTGTGTGTGTGTGTGTGTGTGTGTGTGTTCGGGATGTGGGGGGGTTTCATGCTTCTCAAGTGTGTGCAATATTGATCGTCCATGTAATGAGTTTTTAGTGCCCCCTCCTCCACAGTTTGAGTGAGAGGCTCGCTGATTCTGTGTGTGTGTGTGTGTGTGTGTGTGTGTGTGTGTGTGTGTGTGTGTGTGTGTGTGTGTGTGTGTGTGTGTGTGTGTGTGTGTGTGTGTGTGTGTGTGTCCTCACTGCTAGAAAAAGAATTACTGTGGAGGACAAAATCAAACAGACATCAAACAGCCAAGTCAAGTACTGTAGGAGAGGGGTCCCAGGCATAGTTTAGTAGTTTAGAGTAGGAAAGTGTGAGAGTGTTTGTCTAACTGTCTGTATGTATTTGCATGAATGTGTGATGATGTTGGACAGGCAATAGCGAAGACAGACAGAATCAAGGTGAGAGAGAGAGGGGCTTGACATGCAACAAAAGCTTGAAGCATCCCAGCGGAGCTGCTGTTCTGTTGCTGTGCTCTAAATCATCGGTTACCAACCTTTTAATAAAGACGTTACCGCCCCCCTGCCCTGTCACATGAAGTACCCCGACTTTAACACCAGTGTCAGGTTCAAAATGTGTTCATTTTCATTTAACAATAACTAGATATTTTTCACAATATTTCCTACTATTGTTACAATATTTTAAGCTAGATGTTTAGATATTTCAACAAATGAATACATGGCTAACTTTTTATTTGTATGTTCATTATTTCTTAGCTTAATATTTAGACTTTTCTGTTACTTACTAACTATTTGTTCACAAATTGCAGCTGACTGAATATATGGATATTGTTAAATTGTAAAATTAATGATATGTTTTTTTCTAATCAAAATGTTAATCTTATTTTAATAGTATCTTATCTAGTTACTAGTTACTTTCCAGTTAATGTTCATCAGCAAATTAATTATGATATCAATACATCAATGAGACTTTATTGATGCCCAGGATAAATTCACAAGCTACAGCAATAACATCAAACATATAATTACATGTAAATCAACCACAAATGTAAAAGTTGCAATTGACTAACTTTTGAAGTAAATTCCACACAGTCACAATGTCGGGGTTTAAGTTCTGACTCTTTTCTACTTGTTTTCCGTAATTGATGTGACTGGCCCCTGCCTCCCTTTAAATTAATGTCATCCTCCACACTCCACCATTAAGAAGAGCTTTGATTTGAGAAAGAAAAAACCAACCCAGGTCCTTAACACATATTTTTACATCACAAATATTAATCAAAAGCTGCTGGATGCAGAGATAAAGCAAAAACAAAATGCGTATGTGACTTATGCCATATGTAGATAGGCTTTTACATGAGGAACAGTTTCTATATCTAGTCTAGAAGACTCTCGATAATATTAGGCTATGGTTTTTCATATTTTATTCGTCTTTTTGTCGTCTGATTCTTTTCTGTTTTTATTTTGCTTCGCTCCTCCGTTGGGTCTCTATCTCTTTTTCTCTCCATATGGAGGTGACAGATGTCCCCTCAGTTGTCAGGGAGACAGATTCACACCCACATATTTACGAGCACACACACACACACACACACACACACACACACACACACACACACACACACACACACACACACACACACACACACACACACACACAGCAGCCAAAATATACTGACATTATTATACACCCCTACAGAGAAATCCCTTACAAGTATACAATATAAACCACACACACACACACACACACACACACACACACACACACACACACACACACACACACACACACACACACACACACACACACACACAAGCTTCTTCCCACAGTCTGTCTGTCTGTCAGTCTGGCTTCTGTTTCATCCCACTATGATCTTGTGTGATCTTGGGATGGCAGTGATTCGCTTGTCTGGCCCACGGTGCTGTGTACAAATGCCTGCTGCTACCTCTGTTTAATTACAACTGTCAGACATCCCTCTTTGCACAGTCATGTGGAAATCTCACATTTAGAATTGTAGTATGATCTTTGATATGATGGATCTCTGATTAAGGTGTCCAGTCGTTCTAGATACGTACTGACTCTGTCTTTCTGTGGCCCTGCCTGCAGCCTGCCCATCATACATTAACTGTGAAATGGAGAAGAAAAAACAATGTCTGAAAAAAGGTTAGAATGTCTTCAGGTCATTTTTAAAGAAGGAGCATCATCTTTTAAGGATGAAAGGATGGATACTTATCTGTCCATTAAATATGAAGCTACAGCAAAAAAGACTGTTAGGCTATTTTTACGTAAAGAAAAGGAAGGAAACGGTAAATCTGGCTCATGGCCAAGAAATAGCCTGGCACTCAACCCCCTGCAAACAACAATTTGTTTTTACACTTCAGCTTTTTGTACAGATTAAGCAAACAAGATTTAACATTTAAACTATGTGAATATTGGGATTGTGCTATCTTTGGACAGAGCAAGGCGTTTCAAACTTTATGCAAATATAAGCAAAATTAACCATCTTTAAACTTTTCAATTTTGATTGCTATTTTATTTATTTCCCTGTTTGACCAGTGTTTCTGACATGTTAACTTAGTGAGCGACATTGGTGTGGTTTGATAAGAAACAGGCGATAAAAGAAGGACAAGACATGGTGCCAAGGCAGGAAAATATTCTGGTATTTGGAACATTACAAGCCTGTTCTGTAAAATCAATTGAAGCATGCCTAATCAAACCCACTCTCTCTCTCTTACACACACACACACACACACACACACACACACACACACACACACACACACACACACACACACACACACACACACACACACACACACACACACACACACACACACACACACACACACACGCAAACATATGGGAAAGAAAATGGTTTCGGTGACATTTCTCCAGTACAAATGTCACCTGCAGTGGGGGTCAGCCCCCTGCTGGAAATGGCATTTGCACACAGTCTCACACACACATACACTCATGCACACAGGCTTGCATGCTCACACATTTATAGGATTATAGTGTACAATGAAGGATGTCAAGGAAGCTGCAAAGCCCCTGGTAGAAGTGTGTACGAGACATTCCTCTGAATACATGAGCATGTCCGCGGGTGTGATGGGGGGGTTAGTGTTCTCCCCCATGTTAATATGGCAGAAAACAGATTGAGACATCACATTTCAAGCCAGGGGAAATCAACCTGCACAGGTCAGATGTACTGCTGTGTGTGTATGTTAGAGAGAGAGAAAGAGAGAGAGAGGGGGATAGGGATGTCGAATCAAATCGGTTCCCTCAGTGGACCTCTTTGACTGGCGTCTGTATCTCAAACTACCCTCTGTTATTTCTATACGCCGTGTTTCTCTACATGTGTTGTTGGTAAGCTCCGTTTCACTTTAATCAAATCAGCCAGCTGGGAGCCCTCCATTCAGACCCCTGACTGCTGGGGAGATTCGCATCAGTCGAGGAAATTAGGCTGTATACTGTATTATCACTTAGAAAACCAGTGGCAGAGTTGCACATAAATATAGCAGAAACTGCCAAGGACACATTTTTAAAGCTGCCTGATGATTAATAAACGTAAAACAAAATACTAAGGATGTCAAGTAATTCCATAAAATTGATCTACATTGGTAATTAAATAAGCATCTTGTGTCGTTTAGCAGCAGTTGATATATGGACTAATGCTTGTATGGCTGCTAAATTATGGAGGTATAATTCTTCCTCCATGCTCACACTGCAGGCACAGAAACTTTACAGAAAACACTTTATGGCTCGAATGATGGCAATGTCAGTCAGTCGGTACTGTAGGTCCACCACTGTGGTCCAGCCTGAATCATAACATCCAATACCTCAACAACTATTGGATGAATTATCATTTGGTACTGGCATTCACGTTAGCCATTGAATTGGATAAATTGTAGCAACTTTGGTGATCCTTTTTTCATCTGGCATCATCATCATCAAATGTGACTCATGCTTTATGACTAAATACCTAGGTGGTTGTAGGCAATGCATTTGTATTCCCTAAAAGAGGTAAGGCTGTTGATTTCTCAGTCCGCTTGATTGAAATATTGGAGTATTGGATGCATTGAATTTTAAAAAGAGACATTTGTGTGTTATTTTGTAAAACCTTCTTAAATTGCAGGCTTTTTTCTGTATTTTATGTTTGGTGCTAATAATTAAATATAACCATGCAATTGAAACTATAATGGTAAACGTTGTAACTATAACCTGCTACACATTTACTTGTTTTGATCAGGTTTTGATCAACATAGTAACGCGCTAAAAGAATGGTGATCATAATAAACATTACACCTGCTGAACATCTGCATGTGAACCGTTGTGCTGGTGGGCATGTCAGCATGCTGCAGTCAGCATTTAGTTCAAAGCTCTGCAGAGAACTGCCTCAGAGCCGCTAGCATGCCTGTCTTGAACCAGGCTGGATCACAAACACATAAGCCATGTGAACGTTGACCCGGTTTATTACATATTCTTCTTTAAGTAGCCTGCTGCACTTCATCCACAGTTTGGTATCACAAGTGATCTAGATACAGGATGAGAAATGTTATAAAAAATGCTCTGTAGTTAATACGAGGAGCTCTCTCTTCTCTTGTTTCTCCTTCCCGCTGATACCTTTCTTAATTTCATCTTTCTTATCTATGGATACATCTCTTTCCTTACCAGCCCTTTATCCCCACCCTCTCTGCTTTTTTCCATATCTGAATGACAATAAAGGACTGTAGGAGGTTTTTTTCCATCTCTTTCATCTCTGCAGCCAATTTCTCAATTACTCACAGATTGCGACTTGACCTTGGGGGAAAATGATACCATGACAGCTAATCAATTTTTAATAGCAGCTACGATCCCTCTCAGGCCACAAGCTGTGTGCGGCTGTGTCATGAGTGAACATCTGCGAGGGCATTTTCCACGGACATTTGTTTGTCTTCATGCCTTTCTGGGTGTCTTGTATCTAAATGAGTGAGTGAGTCCGTTAAGGGAATCCAGTCGCCACTTTGTTCCACCTTGTAGCTGAAATATTAATGCTGTCACTGTTGGCAGGGCTGGAGCATGATACACACACACACACACACACACACACACACACACACACTTCACTCCCTCTGCTCTGAGTTCACAGCAGTCATGCTAGCAGACAGCAGGACTGATGGATGAGGGGATCTCTGCCGTTGTTCAGGATTGTGACGTCAGGAAACGTTAAGAGCTCCCGTTTGTTCAGAGAATAAAACAAACCTAGTGTTCATCTGTGACGCCATAAAAGCATCATTTAGAGACGTTTGCTGTGTCTCAGTTTGAATACTTTCTTTAGTACACTGCTGTGTCCAACACTGTGTACAAGTCTGTGGATTTCAACCATATAGTGTAGTGCTGTTAGCATGCTAGCTTATACATGTTTTCTTGTATTGTAGCAAAACAATACAGACTAAAAGTAATTTATGTTCTACTAGAACGTCTCTGAACGTCTTACATACTCCAGTCTGTAGCCACAACTGGCATTTATAACTTTTGTTAATGTACTAAAATCCTGGTCCACTCATTCGTCACATCCCGGATTGATTACTGCAATGCACTTCTGAGTGGCCTTCCCATCAAGCTCCTCAATAGACTGCAAATAATCCAGAACTCTGCTGCCCGGGTCATCCCCCGCACCAACTCATCTGACCACATCACCCCATTCTCACTCAGCTACACTGGCTTCCTGTACGCTACCGTATTGACTACAAAAACATTCTACTCATATATAAAGCTCTCCACGACCTTGCCCCCATCTACATCACCGACCTCCTTCAGGAGTACACCCCCTCCCGCACCCTCCGCTCTTCGTCCGTAGGACTTCTCACCGTCCCAAGCTATCGCCTCAAAACCATGGGTGCTCGAGCTTTCAGCTGCTCGGCTCCCAGACTCTGGAACTCCCTGTCACTACACATCCGACAGTCTGATTCCATAACAACATTCAAAACCCAACTCAAAACCCACCTGTTCAAACTGGCATTTTCTTTATAATCTGTACCCAGTGTCCTTTTGTGTCCTTCTGTAGTCCATTTCCTGTTGTTTGTCTTGTCTTACCCCGGCTGACACTTCACTAAATCCACTGTTTTAATTTTAAGGTAAAATTGTAAAAAATGTGTAAATGTTAATTGTAAATTTGTAACCCT